GGGTTTTGACAGGGAGAGGGACCCGACAGTGGGGATATGTTATTGCCCTCCAGGTCAACTTGAGACCCTGGATGATGTCCTGACAGATCAGATTCTAATCCTGGGGCCGATCCTGTTTAATCTTTTCATCAACGACATGGAAGAAGGGATGAACAGTCTGCTGATCGAATTCCCAGACTATATTAAAACCAGGGCAGTGGCCACAACTGAGGATTTGGTACTCCAGATCCAAAAGGATCTGGACAGACTATGGAAGTGGGCAGGAGACAACAGGATGGCATTCAATGTGAATAAGTGCAAGGTCTTGCACTTGGGGCATAGGAATAGGTGTCATAAGTACAGGTTAGGGGACAAGTGGCTGGAGAGCAGCACTTGTGAAAGGGACCTCGGGGTGCTGGTTGACTGCAGGCTAAACATGAGTCAGCAGTGTGATGCGGTGGTCAAGAGGGCGAACGCCACCCTTGGTTGCATAGCCAGAAGTCTGACTTCTAGATCAAGAGAGCTATTACTACCACTCTATACAACGCTGGTGCACCTGCAGCTAGAGTATTGTGTTCAGTTTTGGGCCCCTCATTGCAGGATGGATATAGCCAGGCTAGAGTCAGTGCAACGTAGGGCCACAAGGTTGGTGGCCGGTTTGCAGGGGATGGGGTATGAGGTGAGACTGAGGGAACTGGGTCTCTTCAGCCTGGGAAAGAGGAGACTCAGAGGGGATCTGTTGGCGACATACAGGAATGTGAGGGGATGTCACACGGAGGTGGGTAGAGACCTGCTCTCCCCTGCAGAGGAAGGCAGGACATGCTCCAACAGAGCAAAGCTCAGGGAGCCAAGGTTCAATTTAGATGCCAGGAAGCACTTCCTGACAGTCAGGACCCCGAGGGTGTGGAATGGGCTTCCATGGGAGGTGGCTGAGGCCCCATCGGTGCGGGTGTTCAAGGATAGGCTGGACATGCACATGGTGGGCATGTCGTGAGCAGAGCCAGCTGGGGCCGGGGAAGGGGGCAAGCTAGATGGCCCGGGAGGCCCCTTCTGACTTGCTCTGTTTCTGTGTTTCTATGTTTCATTATTAGATTTCATCCACATTGCTGCTTTTGATGTGAAGAACTAACATGGATTTCAGGTTTGCTACCTTCCTTCTTGGGAACTCTGAATGCTGGAAAGGCCGCAATTGTATCGTGGACATACAGAAGCCACTAGATACTGAGGTCGGTACTACACTCTTTATACAGTCGCCGTCTTTGTTCAGTTGGGTGCCTGTTATTTTTATGAGTGTCATATTTCAGAGTGCGCTCCTCTTTTTCCCGGAAACAAACTCTATCATCTCTGTTTCTTTTCTCAGGAGATCTCTCTCTCCTTCGTTCAGGGGTCCTCTCTCTTCGCCTGTCAGTTGACTTTGCCCTCCTTTCAGGGGGGGAGCTCTCTCTCTTCCTGTCTGGTGACCTCCTTGGATCCATCAACCTTTCAAGCGACCGCCTCCTCCTGCTAGGAGAGCCATCCCTCCTGCGCGTTGGTGACCTTTCTCTTCGTCTCTCTGGAGAAAATTCTCTCCTCTTCTCATGTCTTTCCTTTCTCTCCAAAGTATTGTCGGCACTCCTAGTACCTTCCCTCCTTTTTTCAGGAGATTTCCGTTTCTGTCCATTGATCACCACCATTCGGTCTGGGTGTCGTTCTTGCCTCCCTTCTGGTGACCTGTCTTTTTTTCTGCCTGTTACGCTATTGCTGTTTTTAGAAGTTCCATTCCATGTGTGGTGCTCATTGGATTGTTTGCCAAACTCTCTGCTGCCTTTTGGGTCCTTAAAATATATCCGCTTGTCTCCATGTTGTGATGATTTGTGAAGATCTGGTGGATAACTGGGCTCCAATGATGAGTGTTGACGTCTGTCAGATGGCATGTTTTTCACTTCCGATACATTTTGTGAACCTGTGGCTGGACTGTTCCTGTCACTGCTGGGGTCTGAAAAAGACAACAACAAAACGTTTGGTACCACTGGCTTCATTTCTGAGTCTGAGACCAGTCATTCATTCCTCAGACTTCATAGTGACAAAAACAAACAGTTGTTATTTAATCAGTAGGAAACTAACTGAAGCTTTTGTTAATTTCAGTAACCACAAAAGATGAGAATTATATATTAGTACTCATGTTTGTCCTGGCTCTGTCCATCTTAGGCCAGACTCCGGGATCCTCAACATCAGAAAGAGGAGAGTTTTAATTTTTTTCAGATTCAAATGACAATATGTTGAGCTAGTTTAGGTCCTTTACAATCAAAACCTCCATATCCTCCCTTCCCTTTCACTGTTGCCAGCTCCCCACATAAAAGGTCAATTTTTAAACATTAATATTAGGTTTTTTTTAAAAAAATGAAGGGAATTGTCCTCATGGGAAGAACACATTTAATTTGTATTTATAAATTTCTATTTTGTTGTAAGGAACACAAAACATTCTGCTGTGTCAGTTTCAATATATTGCAGGAGTGTCTTAAGGACAATTTTGGTTTTGCCACAATGATTCAACTTAAACACACACAATGAAAGGTGGAAGGCTGGGGAAGGACATGGCTCCTATTAAAGCAACAGTAAGCTGCTTAGATGTGCAGAATGAAAATTTTAAAGTATTTAAATTTCTCCTTTTGCCAAATATAGATGATGTAAGCTGAAGAAGCAAAGATTTGTGCAGGAGATAAAACTTCATACATAATTTGCAATAGATGATTATGAATTCTTTATTACAAAAATGGCAAAACACTGCAGTTAGATTGTTTTGAGAGCTACTGTATGGTTGCAATTGTTGTTTAGAGAAAACACAGATGTCTCCCATAAGATGACTTAATGGATTTTAAATAAAATAGTTAACATGAATCCAAAATGTGTTCTCAGAAAATTAACATGACAGTATGTAAAGCCACCAATCATGGTGGAGTCCAAGACTCTTCCCTCTTTTTCCCAAGAATGTTAATACTCTTCTCAGATGCAATCTGTTCTTGACAGACTAGGTTAGCTTGGGTTTTGTGCAGGCCTTTTCATTTTGGTGATTTCTGGGTGGGAACCACACGACAGTGTCATTGTTATCAGCTGGCTTTTGACAATGAAGGACCATATTTTGTTCTTCCAAGGGTGCCAAGTCACTTTAGAACCATGCGGTCTGTTGCAAGAGACCATGGTGCACCGTGTACTTACAATTGAAGGAACTGCAGGATGCTCAGAATGAATTGCCGTATATACAGAGGTATAGCAAAGCAGAAAGCAATGTGAGAGAATTAGGCCACAGCACAGAAACACCTAGTATTGATTTTAGCTACAAACCGTAGTTTGATTATGGCCCATAAGGTAGAAGCAAGACTCCCCGAGCTTGTCATTTCTCATACATGCAGCGATATTAGGAGGTATCATCGCTGAGGAAGGAAGAGCCCGGCACCAAGAAAAGTAGGAGAAAGAGAAAGAGAAAAGTAGAATGTTTAGATTCCCTATAATAAGAGGAAAGAAAAAAAATCTTCATTTTTTTAAATCTTAGAATAAAGAAAAGTTTATTTTTTTCCAGTCAGGATTGTCTAGGCATCACCCAGTATAAGGCTGCAGAGACAGCAGTTGTTAAAGCGACATATTGTAATTAAACAGTTTAAAAAGGTGATTAGATAACCCAGACAACTAAAGCATCCATTCTGAGAGAGAAGAGAAGAAAGAGACATAATTGGAACAGTGAGACAGAATGTTAGAGGAAAAACAGTTAACAATCAACAACGACAAAAAGAAGCCCACTGAAGACCACAACGTTAAAAATAAGTACAAAACTCATTACAAAAATATACAGCCTCGTTAGAGAAGCACGTTTCAATCAAGTCAGAAAAATATTGGAACCTAACATTATTTTTGAAGCAACTTGTGAGTGATTGCAGTGAACAGTACTGAAGAAGCAAAGCCCCTCAGGAGTGCGGCCCTGGGCAAGCTTGCATGGAACAAGAGCCGACGACCCCCCAGCATCCCCCTGCCAACTGTGCTAGCCCATGCTGGGAACGATCGGCCCTTTTTCCATCTAAGCTCGCATAGGAATGCACCCTAAACATTGTAAGAGTATGGTAGCACCAGTGCAGCCCCTTGCTTGAAAATGGAATTTGTTATGTGATTACAAAGTTACCGGCAGCCAAATCTTAATAGAAAGCAAGCAAGCAAGCAAGAAAGAAAGAAAAGAAAGGAAGGAAGAAAGAAAGAAAAGAAGCTGGCTGCTCCATGCCCTGGTGTTGGATTTTTATCCTCAGTGCAACAGACATTCTTGACGATGTGGAGCACTTTTTTGTTTTGTTTTTTGATAGGATATATTTACGATGTTTAGCATATGATACAATACTTTACAGGCAAAAGAGCATAGGAAAAGACAGAGCCAAAGAACATTACACAACTTTAGTCCCACTGAAAGATGGCCAACTAAGTGGTTTATACAACAGAAGTGCAAACACAGGAGATTTGATTCATGAAATAGTATAAATGGGTTTGAATTTATAGAGTGAGGCTTTGGCCAGACTATCTACATAAAGTGTGATATAGTGAGCAACCAAGTGAGAGATCTTGAGCATGTTACAAAATATAAATAGACAAGGCCATGTGTGATGATAGATCACACATAAAAATAAACAAACAACAGGTCGTCGTCATAGGCATAACAAATGTGGGGTGTTTCAGGAGATGTCCCCCACGTTCCCCCTTGGGATCAGCCACTCTAATCAACTGTGCCCCCAAGCTGTGCTTTGGAGCTTCTCCTCACCTGCACTGACACATTTTCCCATAGTGCTCGCTACACTGCTGTACCCCTGCCACGCTTCCAAGTTCCTGGCTGTCTTCGACAGATTCCCAGGCAAAAGTCCACTTGAGATATATTCTCACAAAGCTGCATGTAGGTATGTTGACTTTTACAAGTGATTGAAAGAGCTTTGCAAGTGGTTGAATACAGGCCTAGAGTTTAGGAGAAGGTGAACTGACACCTGAACATGTACTGAATCATTTGTAAGACCGGTTCAATGGAGTGCCAAACTACTGGGGGCAAGGAATAGGAAGAGCTCTTGAATTTTTCCCATATGTAAAAACACTTTGTGAGAATATATGCATAGGCTGTGAATCACACCCTCCATCCACAGCTGTGCGATATCAGACCATTTCTCTGTTCTGTTTGTGGAGAACAAATGTAGAAAAGGAAATTCACTGGGACTGTTGTTATGTCCCACACTGGGATAAAAAGAATATAATTTATTGATATATATTATTATCCCAAATATGGGGAAGCATAAAGGACATCTGTTCATTTATGTGCTTATAACATAACTGGTTGAAAACCAATTACATTTGGGGGAAGCCCTACATCGAGGGCATACATTTGAATAATTATCTCAAATAAATAAGACATTATAATCTTATATACAATTCTAAGCCACCCAAACCTCTACCTTGGGAACTCCAATACACTGGGGGACAAGAGGATTTTTCTTTAAATGCTGACCTCATTTTCCTTAGCAAGAAAGTGAAATGTGACCCTCCTCTGTCATGACAACACTGAGAATGGCAATTTGAATTTGTTCATAGTTTACACAGTTGTGAACCAACAGATATTCTAAAGGATAAGGGAGGTGATAGGAGAGGGGTCCAAGTGTATATATTTTTGTATTGCATACTTTTAAAAAATAAATTTATAAATATTTACATAACTATAAGGGGACAGCAAACGCCCAGACACCATCTTGGAAGTCATGCCTACGGTTACAGACAACAGCCAAGGACAAAAGCCCAACAGAGGCTACAGTTTCAGAAGGATAATACAGGATTCCCATTTCTGCATTGATCAGAAGCCGAGAGAACAATTCATCCGCTGAGAAACAGTTTGGCACAGTTCAATAAACATTCCTTGTTTGGTCGGACAGGATAGTAGGGTTTTTGTTTTGTCTCTATGTTTTTGCCCCCTCTGATCACCAAAAATACTGCTTGGAAGATGATCTTGCCTGTACACTGTGCCCCCACAAAAGTCCACAGTAGCAAGCAAAGGATGAAAATTGTGTAGAGAAAATTCAGCACAAGCGAGGCAATTAATCATTTGTTGCCAAGGTTGGTAAGACACTGGTGAAAAAAGAGAAAAAGAAAGAGAGGGGGGAAAAAAGAATCCCCGCTTCAGATCTTGAGACATATCACTCATGGTGTGATGCCAGGAGGAAGAAAAGGAATGTTTTCATAGTTTGACCCACCATATTCTGGTACAGAGCCATCTCCACGTTTGAGAAACAGGCGAACTTTGCGGCCACCATTTTTAATTAGTTCTATGGCTCGAGCATGCTTCATGTTCTTTGTGGTTTCTCCATTGATCTCCAGGATTTCATCACCAATCTGCCAAAAAAAAAAAAAAGGAAAAAGAAAAAAAAAGAACCTATGATTTAGGAAAAATTGTTGGGAAGAAACTGTATGGAACAGGTGGAAACTCAGCAAGGGTTAATGAAACTTAAGGGTCCCACTGCCATAATTTTAAGCCATGCTATCAAATTTCTCAAAGGCTTTCAATTACACATGTGCAAAGGAACGCATGCCAGAAGAGAGCTGGTTCAAGTGTTCAGGCAGGTATTCTACCACCTTATGCACACATGGGGAAAACTCATCTGAAATGGCCCCAAGTCAAACTTCCTCTTGTGAGGAGCCAAGAATCATTTTACCAAAGAGCATCCAGAGCATGCAGAGAATGGGGTGTGCTCTGCAGACAGCTAAGAAAATTACTATTTTAAATGCATGGCAAGTAAGAAATAATCTATATTATTTTTTCTGCTTGTATCTGAATAGAAGTCTTCCTGCTTTCTCTTTTCTTCTTGATCCAAGGCCATGTGAATCCATGGGCAGGATTGTATGGTAAACTCATCTGAAGCCAACTACAGATGAAGTTCCCCAGCAATCATTCGACAAACTGGTCTCAACTTGGAGAACTTTTGGAGCAGCTTCTGATGCAGTGAGAAGTGCTGTGTTTGTGGAACTGGGCAGATGAACTTTTGGGTGGACATAAAGGGTCCTTATTACTGGTGCAGAACTTTTAATTCCCAAGCACAGACTTCTTTTAAATGTATATACTGTTGATTTATAACTCTGCTACACTGTCTAACACATTAAAATTGCTATGTGGTTTCCTATGCCTAATACAACAGAACACGTTACAGCATTAAATAAGAATAGTGGAAAACAATGAAAATATTACATCATCATCACAATAATAAAACAGGGCAGCAACAGTGATTCCTCATAAGTAAGGGAAAGCCTATATAAAAAGGTTCATTCTCAAGAGAAATTTGAAACATGCCACCTTTTGTCCCTCTGGAATCAATACTGGAGAGAGTTCTAAGTGCTACCAGTGACAGGCTCATTTACATACATTGCCTGGTGACATTCGATCGGCCACAACATGATGAGTACAGACCCCTTACAGATCTGAGGGACTGACTCAGATGTGTGAGGGGATGTGGGAGGATTCCAATAGGGGGTGGAAATCCAAGAGACCTTCCATTTTGTTAGTCTCACACTGGCACCTAGTTGCTATTGTGCAAGTTGAGCCAGCCCAAAGATTTCTGTCTCTGAGAGGGACTGTGGTTTGCACCTTAAAAAACAACAGAAACTTAGAAAATGTGTGTCAGTTAAGCTATTTGTGCAACTAGAAACCACATTATGTAGTTCTAATGTGATGTTCACAAATGGTTCTAGATTGATGTAGTCTTCAGCATCCAAAATAGCAAACCGTGGCCTGCTAGAGATGGAAGTTCAGGGTGAAACGCCATCTTGGGCAGGCTTCCAGACATCAGATCAAAAGCAGGAGGAACTTCAAGCTCAATCAAGCTGTCCTCCCAGTATCAACACATTAATGTGGAAAATACCTTCATTCAAGGTTATTGAAACCCATCAGAGTGATTTTCCAATCCTTTTGCAGAATGGATGCAAGACCATTTTGAATGCAAGACCATTTTGACTCACAGCCTGAGCTAACTCCTTAACTGCCAATCAACCTTGCAAGTGTCACATAAAAAGCAGGAAACAGAGAGTGGATATGCGTCTCCAACATACTTTGTGTAGAGCCAGTGAAAAAGGCAGGGCAACATAAAATGGTTTCGTTTCACAAACATACCCTCATTTTTCCACATCTCTCAGCAGGACCATCCTCTGCTAACCGCAGTACATAGAGATCCATGTTATATTCTCGTCCGCCTCGGAGGCTAAAGCCAAACCCCTTGGCACCTCTTTCAAGCTCAACTGTATAAAAATCTTGGTCCGGCTAGGAGAGAGAAATAAGAACCATTCTGCAACCAGCATCTCTTATTCTTCAAAATATATTGCAAATATTATTGCTATTATTATTATTATTACTAGTGATTATGATTTTTACTTAAGATAAACAATGCATTAAATCAGACTTGTTTTCAAACCTGTTTTCTGTCTGCTCCTCTTAACATCTCAAATTAAGTTCTCAAATTAAGAGCAAATGATGGTGTTCTTTAAAAAATTAATCTCATTGTGCAAACTGCATTAAAGTTAACTAAATAATCATTACGACGTTAATCACAAGGAAGTTTCCTAGGTGATCAGCTACAGGCTCACTGATCATATTGTGTGTGTTTCCGTGTGGATGTATTCTTGTTTTATAATTATTCTTGTTTTATCTACTGACAAAAAGTTGCCTAACAAAATCACAGAAAATATCCCTGACTTTATCCTGCCTATATAATGAACTTGCATCCAACAGGAGAGCATTACTTTAGTCACTGTGGTGACAATGACCAGTAGGAGAGGTAATCAGTATGTAAGGCACTGATAGTCAATATCAGGGGCACAAAGCCAGCTGCAGCATGGAGCCACTCCACAACTGGAGAGCCACTCCTGTGATCTTCACACTGCCATTTTCAATTACCTTCTGAGGGTACAGACTGATGGGGCTGCAGCCCCTTTGATGGAACTCCCTGAGCTTGGTTGCTTCTGAAAGATCAACACCCTGTCCAGTTTTTGCAGTTGTTTCCATGGTGGCTGCATAGGGGTGGTGGGGGGTGGGGGCAGGGCTCAGAACCCTCTGCCCACAGCCTTGGAAGTGGGACTCCAAAAAATCCTATGGTCTCTGAGCAATTCTCCTAAAGATTCTGGGATTGTTCTCTAAATATACAGCTTGGAAAACAGTTTACCACCATGGCTAAACTGAAGCAATATAATTTTTGTCCTTTGAAATAAAATTTAAAAATAAAGGCAACAAAGCAAGGAAGAATATACATAATAATATAAGGAGATTATTAAGAAATTCATGAATTATTATTCTTCATCTATCTCCAATATGCTTCTGAGCATGTAGAGTAACCTAGCCTAAGTAGGAGCTCAATATCTAATGAAAATGCCAATTATATGGCATATATATGAAGTGTGCATTACTAACACACCCAAAACAATATTATAGATAATATTATTGCAAAACTTGCCACAATACTCTATTTTTTCGTCTCAGCACAGCTCTGCTACAAAGAGCCTTTCAAGCCAGAATATCATTTGATACATTGATCAATGATTTCAGTTTCTCAGACAAAATAAAAGCAGGGGATCCTCCACTTTTTTAGGTCTGTAAGCACATTGGGATTTTAGGAAATTGCTATGGGCACCACTGCAAAATGGTTCCTGCATGTGGCTAGTCATATAATGGCTGACTTGGGGCTTGGCTAGACAAAATTGAGCTGAAGAGGTGGAGCGGAGTGAGAAACGGTGATGCCATAAATATTTACTTATGGAGGGAGCAGGGATTAGAGAACTTTATGCATGCCATTGCAGGTCCCTGCAGTTGCCACAGCATACATGGGCACCACCACTGGGGATGTCTGGAATAGAGGGAGGGAGGGAGGGAGCATCCACAATGCAAATTGGTTACAGGCATGCAACCTGAAACTGCTGAGCTAACATGGCAGCAGCTTAAAAGAAGCGTATGATGCCTTACCTGTGAGGTTGTGGGTGGCTTGAAATCAAACTGGGAGTCCTGCTTTGGTTTTGCATTGTTTCTGTTCACAAATGAATAAAGGATTGGGGTGACAGAAGGAGAGAGATCAGTTTTATGGAAATAATGATGCACAAGAAGTAATAGCTAGACAGCAGATCAATGCAACATTAGGCTGACCTGGTCTCCTGTGGCATTTGCTGTGGAGTATGTGTGGTTGTAATTGTAGCAATTTTTTCTGCATTGGTCAATAAAGTTGCATTGGAGGATTCTGCAAAATAAAAGAATGATCTTTTTGAGGCAAACTATTTCTGTGATGATGATATACATACAGTTCCATTTGACCAAAGTAATCCATTCGAAGGTATCAAATACATTTTTAATCACCACACAACCGAAGAGGGATTTGTACTGGTTCACATTTCAGAAATCCAATAACAGAAAGCAGGTTATATAAGTAGCTAACCATTAAGTATTTATTTAACAACACGCTGGTGAAGAGATTGACCAGAAAGCTTTACTATGTGGGAAAGGGGTATGAAAAGCAACCCATCTATGAAAACAATAATGACATTTCTCTTTGTCCCACAGTAGCTGTACACAGACAAGTGCATGCGACAACAATTCCATTACCAAGGGTTATGGTGTCTGGCATTTTGTTACCGGACAGGTGTTGCAGTCTGCTGTGACAGCTGCAACATGTTCACCCTTCAGGAGACGCAGGATACACTTGCCCTTTGTGCAAGCTTGTGACCCTCCTAGAGGCAGAAGTGAGGTACCTGAGGGCCAAAAGAGCTCTACAGCCCTCCCGGGAGCAGTCCCCCTCCAGACAAAGGGTTGAGGGAGGAGTGAGCTTTGTCCAGAAGACTTTAAACTGAGCCGGGGTGGGGGGTTGTGGTTTCAGGCCCCACAGAAACTTGTCTGCACTGGGCAAGTGTGGGGAGAGGATCAGGGCTCTGGGACCAGGGTTTTAGAAATACTGCAGGAAATGACAGGACTCCTACAAAGAGGGGGCCAGTATCAGGGAGGATGGGAGGAAGGAGGAGGCTGGTGATTCCAAAGAAAGGAAGCTGTGGGAAGGAGTTGAGGTGCATGTACACCAATGCTAGGAGCCCTCCCGCCCCTTGAGATCGGCGGCAGAGGCCCTTCGTGAAGGACATTAGGAGGGTGAGTACCTGGAGGAGGGCTTTCTCTGCAGTGGTGCCCAATCTATGGAATGCGCTCCCCAGAAAGGTCCGCCTGGCGCCATCGTTATTTGCTTTTCGGCGCCAGGCCAAGACCTTTTTATTTAAACGTCATTTTAATTGTTAATATTATTTATTGATTTTATATCTTCGGCCAGGACGTCTCCAATTATATTGTTTTATAATTGTTAATTGTGTATTTATTTATTGTTGTGAGCCACCCCGAGGCTTTGGCAAATGGGGCGGCATAGAAGCTTGCTAAATAGATCAATTAATAAAATGGGTAATAAGCAGGAAGAGCTTGAAGCTCTCCTGAGAATAGGAGGGTATGACCTGGTGGGAATCACGGAAACTTGGTGGGATGAAAGTCAAGACTGGAATGTAAATATAGAGGGGTACCACCTGTTTAGAAAGGACAGGAAGGGAAAGAAGGGTGGAAAAATAGGTTTATGTGTCAGGGAAGGGATAGGATGCAGGGATAGGATGGGATAGAATGCAGCGCAGATGGGGATCTGGTAGAGGGAGTCTGGGTGAAACTACGGGGTTTTGACAGGGAGAGGGACCTGACAGTGGGGGTATGTTATTGACCTCCAGGTCAACTTGAGACCCTGGATGATGTCCTGGGCTTCCATGGGAGGTGCTTGAGGCCCCATCGGTGAGGGTGTTCAAGGATAGGGTAGACATGCACATGGTGGGCATGTCGTGAGCAGAGCTGGCTGGAGCTGGGGGTCAGACTAGTTGGCCTGGGGGGCAACTTCTGATTTGCTCTGCTTCTATGCTACTTAAATTCCAATATACTATTTAGGGCTGTTTTGCTTTTCACCATTTCCTTTATAATTCAATTTCTCTCATAAGGTACTGCTGTGTGGCCCACACCAATTTTAACTACTCTTTTAAAAATAAATTATAGACCTCATGGTTGCAGAGGAAATACATTATCTATCTGGCAAATCAAAAGATATTTCATTTTCACTATTAAAGATTTTAGAACGGAGGCATGAGCAATAACAATGTACTCCAGTATTATCTTGCCCACTTGAAGGGGGAAGGGTGAAAGGGACCTCTTACATGTCCTAATATCCAGAAACAGTTTTCCGAAACTAAAAATTTGTTCCCAACAAGGCAAATATTCTCAAAGTAGCATGGAGTCCAAGTTTTGAAAAAATGCACATTGTTTCAATACTATCCACCATCTGTTTGACCTGCAAGCTGCTATAGCCTCTTAGTATAACTTTTTTTTAACTTGACCTATTTTTGATCTCATTCGCCCACATCACCATTCAGTCTAATTAGCAGAAGTGACCTATACCGTTTACAGCTTTCCTTGACATCATCATGCCACAAATGTTGTATTATGCTATATTTGATGAAATCACATAATCAGGTCCCTGCAGTCAATTTGATTTAAGGGCAATGAACAATGGGGGATAAAGATGTAGAAAATAAAGAACCTTGTTGCTATATTCTAAAGAACACATAATCTAACATTTCAGACCTGATTATCACTTTGAGACTGCAATATCACTTGCATGCTTGAATAAATCTATCAAAAATACACTGCCCCTAACCCTAACCTTAAACACAATACTGTTCAGTGGGCTAGGCAGCACAATGCAAAATCCCATGGGTTAAACAACCCCACGGAATGTTGCAGGTGATCAGGAGATATGACACAGTACCTCTTGCACATCTGCCCCTTCCCCTTTTAATCAGCAATCCTTGAGCAGCTTCTTTGTAGTGACATAACCTGGACTGCTGGGCAGCTCAGGGATTGAACAACCCAGTGGTTAACCCAACAATAAACCATGGCTTAATAAACAATAAACCTCTGGCTTGTTTAGACTCTAAGCAACTTACAAAGGAGTTGCTTGTGGGTGGAAGTGGTAGGCGTGCTGCAGGCAATGCACTTGCTCTTCCAAGCATCCTGACATGGGCTACCATATCATGCACACCAGGTTAGTGAGTTCATTCGTGAATTGAGCCACCAGTCATTAGCTAGCATAGCAACAGAGTATAAAGAAGCTCCTTGTAACAAATGAGTCCTCAAACTCACACACATTTTCTGTTTTACAAGAACCTAGTATTTGGGTAAGAATTCTCTATGAAATTCAGTGAATGTGCCCATATAAAGTATCAGCTGATGCTTCCAACCTGTCTTTAAATATGGGCAATGATAATGGAAATACATGGTTCCAATAAAGAACTGGCACAGGCATTTTAGGCAAAAGCACAGGCATCGGAAGGTTGAGAACAATAATTATTTCCAAATTACTTATGGTACTTGATTCCTACAAAGTGTGACATCTAAAATCATGCAAATGATATCAAAACATAGTTCTAAACTAAATAAACGGCCCAAGATTGGAGGGAGCTGCTGTGGCAGGGAAACATTGCCAAACACCTGGCAGAAATCTGTCCAATTTGGGGCAAATCCTCCTCCTCCAGCAGTTACACATATGAATATGATTGCAGACTTAGGACTGTATCCAAGATTGTCACTCTGCAAAATCAAATAGTCCTATGCAGCTGATTCTTCCTTTTGCACAAGTAGGTTGCCCATGTTGCTTGCATAACCAGCTGTTCAACCAACTGCACAAGGGGTTTCACAAGGGGAATTTGTAAATGCTTGTACAACTGGCTATATAACAGGTGCAAACTGTTACACAACAGGTTACACAAATGGAATGCACAATCAGTGCACAATGGGTTATGCTTAACTAGGATAATGCACAACTGCTTGTGCAATGGCCCTTGCACAAACATAATTTTAGATGAAATCTCCCCCTGTACATATTTAGAACCTACTTTCTATTTGCACTAACAAAGTGACACAGAGAACTTTGGCTATTGGGCAGTATAGAAATAAAATAAATGAATAAATAAAAATAAACAGTTGCATACTGCTCTATGCTGCCATCTGTAAAACAGGACTGCTTGTGACCCAGTTAGCAAAATGGTCAGGATTGTGAACTGGATAAAGAATTTTAAGTCCTCATTACACTAAAAATGTTGTAGAAGCAATGGCAACACTGATGATGATAATTTGATTTATAATGCTATTAGTGGAGTGCATACTGACAAGTCAATATATTTCCTATGAATACAGTCTTACACTATGCTGGCAGGCTTCCCAAACAAAACACAGGAAGTCACTGTTCACTTCTGCACTGATGTACTGTATCGATTGACCTATAAAGTGCTAAACAGTTTTGTGTTCCTTATGTCCCCTTGTGCTCGTTAAGATCAGCCAGGAGCATTCTCTCTGCTATTGCTTGTGGCACATTAAGCTGAGCAACAGCACATAGAAAAAAATGCTCAAAGGGGCTAAAATATAGCTTTGAATCTTATTCTTCAAGTGTCCAGAAGACCAATATATGTGTTCAAAGAAACAATGTGTTAGCATAGACAGTCTAATACAGGAGTAGGGGAAAGGGACCCTGCGTATATAAGAACTTATAAACCAGTCGGCTGAATCAAGGGACATTCCACTCCAGCATCACACAGTGGTCAAACAGATGTGAACTGGCATCCCAAAGGCTGGGCAGGAGCACAACAGCCTCCTCCCACTGCTATAAAAAGCCTGGAGGCTTCAGCTTCTTCCATCCACCTGGAAAGTTTGGAAGCCTAGGATTCAAGCCTAGTCTTCTCCCTGAAATATCTGCTTGCTCAGCACAGAGACAGCGTTTCTGCAATGAATATGTGATATATTCAAATAGTGAGCCCTGAAGAACATCCATGAAATGAAGACTCATTACAACAGAAACAGGGTCACACGAAAAAAAGAGTCAAACACTCCTAGGAGTGGCAAGCTAGCTGCTCCGTGATGCACGACATGCTGTTTCCAAATATTAGTAAGTTCAAGTCTCTGAACATTTCCCTAAATATTTCAAGATTATATTCTTATGGCCTCTACAGCTTTCAGGACTGAAAGAAGCTATCTTTGCCCCAGTGCCATTCCTCACAGACAAGATTTACACTGGAATTTAGAAAAATGAAAACTTCTAGGAAAATGATGCATTTGATGAATAGTTTCAGGAAACAGAAAGCCTGTGGAATTATTTTAAGTACTACTGTATCTATGCTTTAAATATCCCTATATTGTTCTATATTTGCAAAACTTATGAGTTTCTGGCATATTTTAATGAAATCCCTTTAAAATTGCAATTTAGAAAAAAAAATTCTGATTTCTCTGGAAGCCTAAGACCCTGGTTGCCAAACCTATAATTAATCAAGGAATGTGCAATTTTTTAATATATATAAAATAACTAATAGTTCAATGTACTACTGAAGGGCTCTCTTGACTTGACCATGGTAAATTATGTTGTCTGTGTTTGGATAACACAGTAAGACACTGTGGGTTTATTAAATGGATGCGTACTGTCAGGGACTGGTGAGCCTCCCCGCTCAGTCTGCTATTCACACGCTTACTAGAAATGCGCAACAGATGATGATGATGATTTCATCATCATCTCATCTTTAAACTGGAATTGGACAAAAGGGGGCTGTCTTTGGGTAAGGCGTAAGTATTCTGCATAGCCACCTTTCTTCCCACAATCCAGTCTTGCAGTTCCATTAAATTCTGGTTCTTAGGGTAGCCACAAGCTACAAGAGCTGTTCATTGCAATCTGCTTTGCATGAGTTTAAGTATATTCATCAGGAGCTAGCGTGGGTTTTGAAATGTTTAACTATGTTCACAGAAGAAGCTGAATAACAAAATCTTTCATTTCACATGCATGCTACAATAGAAGTTGTTCTGCATCAGTAAACAACAGAACATAACACACACACACACAATCTAATATACTCCTGCAGCTAGGAAGGGCTGAACTAGCTCTGTTTAAGATTTCCAGGATTCTCTGAATGCCACCCACAGCTTGTCTTGTGCCTTATTCGCACAAAGTATCACTCACTCTGTGCAAATGAGACACTTCCACAAATCAGTGTTTGAACAGGAGATTTGCACCAATTTCCCCTAATCTGTGCAGCTTTCCTCCATGGACAAGGCTGATTTATTCCACAGAAGAAGGTGGTACAAATTAGGACATTCATGCACTTAGAAATAGAAATCAGAAATAAGTATGTGGTCAATAATTTATGAATATTTTCAGCAGCTGTGTGGTTGCACTTGCATTCAGAGGAAAAGGAAATTCCATACATTCTCATCTGCAATGCATTATAAAAGTACTAGTGGTGAAGAAGGAACAAACTAATTTTACCCCAGTACTGTTCCAAGTGAGGTAAACAGACAAAGAGACAACTGTGTTTTGGTATTTTTCCCAGTGGCATTTGTTTATTATTTATGCCAGGGTTCTGAATTCTTTAATTCCAAAGGCCAAGCTATATATTGCTTTGAGGAGATAGGTAGCAGCTTCACCTCTCTCTCTTTCTGCAGGCAACCCTATCCATACTGAGACTCTGTGCTTGTTCTGGAGAGAAAAAAAGGAAGATGCAGCAGCTAAGTACAACTGCCTGGGTTCAAGCACATGCTTCAGGCCACATTTGCAATGTTGTAGTATGGCATCTAGGCTATTAATTGGTACACAGTATTGGGACCGTATTGCACCTGTCTCAGAAGACCTGAACAGACTGTCTACTGCCTTTTGGGCAGAATTCAGGGTGTTGGTTTTAACTTTTAAAAGCATTAAATGGCTTAAGAACTGGCTATATAAGGGACTGCACTGCTTGCTATGAACCTGCTCAAGTACTGAGATTGCAGAAGAAGCCCTTTTGAGGGTTCCCGTGCTCCCCATGGTCTCTCTGATGGGCATATCTGCAAGGGCTTCCTTCTGTGTTGTCTCCAATTTATTGAAAATGATCCCTCAAGAACTGATTGGCTTTTAGAAAGGATGTAGAGATACATATTTTCAATCTGACCTTTTAACATGTATCATTTTAATGTTTTATTGTTTGTAAGATGAAACTCACTTTGGCCACCTCATGAGAAGGAAGGACTCCCTGGAGAAGATCCTAATGCTGGGAACAATTGATGGGAAAAGAAGAAGGGGATGGCAAGAGTGAGGTGGTTAGATGGAGTCACTGAAGCAGTTGGTGTGAGCTTGAGTGGACTCCGGGGCGGGGGATGGTGGAGGACAGGAAGGCCTGGAGGAGTGTTGTCCATGGGGTCGCAATGAGTTGGACACGACTTTGCAACTAACAACAACAATGGTCTTATTTTTATTGTATCAAATATTTATTATCCATGTAAACTAGCAGAAAAAGAAAAAAGTAGATCCTGCAGACCTGAGGTCTACCCACTTTGGTTTAATGAACAGCATGCATCATGTTTTATGGTGCATGAGAATTTAGAAAAGGGCAATACCTTCCTTAAAAAAGAACATTTATCATACCCATATTTATTTTATTCATTTATTTTATTTAACACATTTAAATCTCACCTTTTATAAAAAGAGCTTGAAACAGTTCACAACAGCAATAATTGCAATTAGAAAAGTCTAAAAGTTTAAAATATTGTTTTAAACTTTAAACTATCACCTGCAATCTAATAGTAAAAAGGATATCTCAGATCTGATGAATGAACTCACTGAATGAAAATACTATCCTGCTATCTCATCCCCTTGCAACCTTTCTGCCCTGCACTCAGTCTTTGGACAATAAATCCTCCATCTGGGAAAAGCTTCTGAAGCTAAAACAGGAGCATAACTAAAGAAAAGCCTTTTAAAGTCTCCCTTGATCTGAACAGAAAAACAAAGCTTCTTTTCAGCAGGCTTAAAATATGGCCATGTGCTTATCCCTTTTGCTTCCCAGCCTTCCTTTGCACACATAAAATGTTCAGATTATACATAGTTAAAGGCAAAGGATGAGGACCAAATATTCCCCCCACTGAACACGCAACCATTCCTAAAGAACAAAAGCAGATTCAGAACATACAAGATGGACATTAGGTAAGATTTAGTCATAGTGTGTTAAATCTGCAAACAGGAATGAAAGGATATACACAATTGTGACTGCAGCAGGGCCCCACTGACTTCAGATCTGGTACTTTCCCAGCTGATCCTGACCATGGTGCAGGAGAAATAACAGTTCCTTCCAGTCATTTGGGCTTTGTGTCAAAAGCAATGCAAGGCTATGTTACCTACACACAAAATATAATATCCCTCTAACACCCACTATTTTTGCATGGCATTTTGCTTCCACGAGTTAAGCTAACAAATTAGACATACAGAGAAGGGATGCAGAGACAAATGAAGAGCAGATAAACATTTAACATAGTCAGAAAGCTAAAAGCTGGAAAAGGGGCAGTGGTCCTGAGTGAACTACACATAGTTCCTGACATCCCACTGTGTGAAAAAAAGAAGAAGAAGAAGCAGGCTAGGAATGCAAGACACCCCCCTTCCACTTTTGAGCTTCAACCAATACTGTCTGTGCATAATCTATAAGCACTTCTCACCTTCTGATCACGCAACCATGAGGACTACTATCAACATTATTATTATAATTTTTCATTTCTATACTGTCCCTTAGCTGGAGCTCTCTGGGAGGGTTTACAACAATCAAAGTGAAAGTGTGTGGGGGGGGGGGGTTTGGTTTTTTTTAAGTTTAGGTTTCCAAAATGCACAGTGCTGTACCAAGTTAAATGGGTTGTGGAAATGCTGCAATGTTAAATTCAAATATTTGTAATCATTGATAATCACTCAAAAAACTGATTAAATGGCAGAGCCCACATGGCACACTGGAGGAACTCCAGGGGTTTACATGGCTCAGTTATGCACAGATAAATTTGTTGTACTTTGGGGGTAACTATTTGGAACATATGTGGTCACCTAATATCAAAGCACCTGGGCGTCTTACATATTCCTGATGACATAACTCTAGGCAGAAAGAAAAAGATGAGTGGGTGGAATCGGAAATCCAGCGTGCACCTCCAGTTTCATTAAGTTGATAATTTCTGTACTCAGCAGCCACACAGAGAAACATACACACTCTTGTGGGATCAAAGCCTACCTTTTTTCCATACAGGTAGCATCCCTTTCCCAACCCATCCTCAGTGGTATTTCTAAAGAATGAAATACCTTCAAAACTTCCTTCAAAATAGCCCAAGGCTTTATAATTGCTCAGAAGTCATACTCAAAGTCTGGAGTAACTCCGGGCAAGTCCAAGGCCCATAAAAAGCAATAACTATGTATGAGGGAAAGGAGAGGGAGAAAAAGAAGGAAAGAGAGAATATATACTTTACCATCCCCTGGAATAATGCGCAGAGTAACCATATTTCCTGCTTCTTTAATTAGGTTGACGATGTCCGAATGTGATTTGTTGGTGATGGAGCATCCATTAACGGCCAATATCCGGTCCCCCACTTTCAGCTTCCCGCAGCGGTCTGCTGGGCTTCCCTCAATAATCCGACCTATTTTGTGAGGCATGGCCACACATGCATTGCCTGCTTTTGTTTTGATAATTGGGTTTTGTTTTGTTTTTTGTTTGCGTGTGTGCAATTTTTTTTAAAAAAATGTTTATATACGTTGGGAACATGGTGAAGGGGGAAAGGAGAAAAAGGGTTGAAAAGGGAAAGAGAAGGTTAAGGGTTAATTAATTAATGCACCAAGCAAAAGTTATTAAAGGATAGCTTTGCTGCCAGTGTTCAAAACATTGGCAATCAACTCTGTGAGGGCAAAGTAGAACTTGCTAACTGGCATTACCTACATCTTGTTCAGTAATCTCATTGTGCATGTGCGCGCACACACACATGTCCATTATATTGTTGAGAATGGCATCTTTTGATGGGTTCCAGCTTTGCTCAACAGTCCCCAAAATAAGAGAGGATTTTAGTTGCAAACTTGAAACTGCTGGAATTAAATGCCACCTTTTTTTACTTTCCTCAGTTGATAATATCTTCTCATCTTCCTCTCAGCCAGTGGCTGCTAAAGCTTCTGCCAATGTTTTGTTCTTTCTCCATTTGGAAAGATAATCATTCTATGTCTAACAAGGAATAAGAGTTTTGTTTGAATTTCTTTAACTCATAGCAATTCATCTTATAAAATGAACACAGCATGGGTAAAGCAGCAGGGATCTGGGTTTCCTTGTTCTTCTATGGTGGGCAAAAGAACTATTTGAGGCAAGGAGAAGATAAAGATGGGGCAGGACTGGAATGCATGATCTTCTAGATCTGGACCATCTCATAACTCTTCCCTTGTTGTGATCTTGGTATACATAGACAGGAAGGCCCACAGACTAACCCAAACAGCTCTAAATAACAACCCAATAATTTAACTACACATTTGCCAATTCTGCTTTCATAAAACTTATTTCCAGGTATTCCTGATTAGACTTAGAGTCTGAAAGAGAAAAACAGCAAGTAATCTGGGATGAATGTATTTATTTTCTTGCAAGGTTAATTACTTCCTAGTCATTTTTTTTTGTTGTTGCAGCCACATATGATCAGGAAGGATCACAGTGGTGGCTACTTGGACTCTTAACATGATTAAGGATTAGATACCCAGCATTTCACTGAATCCAGCTGACTGCCAGGCAATGCAGTGGTGAAGGAGGGCTTATACAGGTCTTATTAGTTGTTGTAGTGTAAATCTGTAGATGATCAGCTTCATCATCATTAGCATGATCCACTGCAATGCAATGCCTATTCTAACTAGTTCCCACTAATTCCAAAATTAATGTTAATTTTCACCTCACTGAAAACCAGGAAGCATGAAAGTTCTCTACCATTGTCTCTCAAAATGTCCCATTTTTAATTCAACCTCACCATAAGGTCATGCTATTATATTCACTCTCAGCCCAGTATCTCCCTCTCATGTCTTCATGGTTAAGCTTAATGGCAATTGGTTACAGTGGGTTGCTGCATCATCCAGACTTGGACTATTTTGTCTATGGTGGTATGGTGGGTGAGAACTCATGAACTCTTGTTGGGTTTCTTTTGCCCATGATGGGTTGTTGCATTGTCCAAATCCAGGTGACTGATCTTGCCATGGAAAGTAGAAGTGGTAAGTGAGGCAACTGGCAAGAACAGGAAAAAAAGTCCTTTTTGCACTTGTTGATCTCACTTATGCTGCCAGGAAAGAGCAAAAAGTGCAGTGCCCTGATGATAGTCAAAGCAAAAAGAGAGAAAAAGCTCTGAGAAAAACTCAACAGTGTGTAAATCTTGCCACCTTGTTTTTGCAACTAAAGGGCTTTCACAGCTTTGCTTTCCCTTGACAGCAAACCTTTTGACAGCTATCAGGAAAAAGCAACATGGGAAAAAAAATACTATTTGGAACCTCTCTGGGCCAATGTCTGGGGTAGGTACCTGCTGCATTTTGAAAGCACTTGGCAGCAGACCCCCATCACAGACACTGCTGAAGTGTGACTTCCTATTTTGGACTAATCAAATTAGATTTTAAAACAATGCACATATTTGGTGTGCAATTGTTATTTTTAAACAGCAGACAACCAGTGATAGCCCCTCCAATGGACCACTTCAGCCTCCCAAAAAGAGTTGGGGGAAACCACAGCAAGAAAAAAATGGCATGCAAACATGACAGGGAGGTGGAGACAAATGGGTGTAGCTGTGGTGTCCCCAGGAGGGCTAAAAGGAAAGGAAAGGAAGAACAACCCATGGTAAAACCCATCATTTGTCAGGTATAGACTGTGTGGGTCACGAAACAATAAAGCACAATGGATTAGTGTGAAATGCAAACCTGCCCACAGGGTACCCAATTGATAAGGGTATCAATTCACTCTTTATATTTTGATAGTGTACTACTGGACAAAAATTACACTTTTCTGTATCACAGAACTGATCCACAAATTTGGGGGTTATTGAACGACAGACAACTCTAACAAAAATCAAGAGACAAATACAGGAGATGAACTCAGTTCAATCTTGGTGGGTGCTGCCAATGACTTGGTTCACCTAATCAAAAGAAGCAGGTGCAGCACATGCTGGGCAGGATTTTCATATTCAAAGCATGGTCACAGGTTGTCATGTTGTGAAAACCCAGGTACCGCGGGCTATGGGGTGGTGGTTTGGCAATCCTTGCATAACCCAACAACAGGCAGACCATGGGCTGTGTGCGAGTTGTTCAACTCTTGCATAATGCACAGACACAACATCACACCACAAGTCGGGTACTGAATATTTCAAATGGGCACCCCCACACGCCACAGCTCACCATGGCTTAAATGCACTGGCTGGTCCACACAACTGAACAGTGTACCCCAGCTATAGTGATTGTGGGATGTTTAATCATGTATACCAGCCCAGTATGACACTTCCTACATGGCTTTGTGGAAGATTTTGTAGTGTGCTATTAAGCATTATATTAAAGTAGAATTGGTAGAGGCAGGGTGGCAGTGGGGACTGTGTAGTGCTTTTATCTTGTCTTATATTTTAAAAGTGTTAATCCTTTTCTCTTCAGAAAGAAAGAAAGTTGCTTACTTTATAACCTAATCTAAAGAGGTGCATTATTTAATAGACTTCAGTAAGTGAAGTACAAGCTATTCTTTACTCTTAGCTATTTACAGAATGTGGAAATGAGGAGTGCCTCTAAGAGGGCAGAGAATGTGATATCTTGTATATCTCAAGATTCTGTCCTTTCTGTTGCTTCATCTCAGTCCAGGTCATTGATTGCTTTGAATTCCTTCTCAGCTTTTCTTTTGGTCATTCTAGCCTATTGGTGTTCTTGGGTTTAGGCAATTTCTTTGATCTGTCATTTATTTTGACTTCCAATTTCTACTTCAATTTATGAATCTGATTTCCAACAAAATGACATTAAATCTGCCCCTTTAAAAACAAAATTTGCTGTGATTTGACACCACATAATTATCATGGCACTTGGTGTCCATGTTCATACATATGGCCTCAGAGCTCTACAAGATAAGTAGAGGAAGGAATTCAGATGGGTACAACTGAAATAATAACTGTTCATGAGGCTATAGCTACAACATTTGTATCATTCACATGTGGGTGGAAAGAATACTAATCCATTCATCCAAAGATATGCTTGCACTGAATTTTTATTAGTAGTTTTAGAAATATGCCTATTTTGTGCTAGTACCAGAAAGATCACAATGAAGGATGAGTTAAAGGATCATATGAGCAAATGCCCACGGACTACCAGAAGGCAATGGGACTGAGTGGTTATTATACAACTTATAATGCGAAGTGTGCCCCACTCCTACACATAACTGGCTAACTCACATGGGAAGAGCTTCTCTTGTATGATTTCTAAGCATAACCAGTGTGCTTAATGAATACTCCCCTCCCCCAGAATAACAAAGAAGCCAACTTTGACCTAGCTTGGTCCATCCTTACATACTATGGACAAAAAATACTGAACTCACCCACCCACACCCCTGGAGGTGTGAGGCAAATACTGTGTAGCTAAGGGTAAGCATCTCATGCAGAATGTGGGGGAGAAATGTTTTCATGGGAGCAGGGTGGGGATGGGGGAAATCCAAAGTTAAGACATACATTTGCTTTCATTTAAGCTCATTTTTCTAGCTCTAAACAGTTGCTCTCTCAAGAGACTTTGGAAATAAACATAATCACGATTGATAAGCCAATTGGATTGGACAGGTAAACACATCAGAATATTCATATTTAAGAGATGCTTCTCATGTTACTTCCTTCCATTAAGCTTTAAGAGGAAAAGTATGTGTTAACTATTAGGGGAAGGGGGTTTTCTTTATGGTGGCCCCCTATACCTAATAATTGCTACTAACGTGGAGCATTTTGCCTAGCTAGCCTAGTTTAGTTGTTTTGGCTCATTATCTTGTCTTTAATTATGGCCTCTTAATTAGCTAGTAGAGCTGATCAAGGAGATCCTTTGAAGACTGAGTGGCTATCACATGGCATTCCAACTGCATCTTTTCTTCTTTGGGGTGGATGAGTCAGAGAGTGCAAATATTTCCGCTCTTCTGAATTTGCCCACAACACTTGGCAAAAGTAGTTCAGAACCCCCTGCTCTAATAAAGAGCAGCAGCCTATCTTAATATTATGAACATGAACCTGGAAAATGAGACATCGGTGGCTTGCTTATCCACAGCTGGGTAAGCTATGCAATGAAACAAGTCATGTTTGAATATAAAAGGTTTATGATAGAGACAATTCCAAGGCTGGTATCTGAGGGGACAAAGCTCCTCTGCAGCACCACACTGACAAGCGCAGCTGCTGTATGTAGATTCAGGTTTCAGACCAGATCTGAAAACCGCAGCACTATGAAGCCTTCCTGATACTTCTTTCTCTGGGTTGGCCTTACTCTTATTCTGTCTCTTTGTTCTGTCCTTGTGCCAAAGACAACTGGAGGAAAAGAGCATAGCTGAGGGAGACATGGGTTAATTCAGATGAGGCCAATTCTGAATTGAAAGAACCTGCTGCACGCCTCATATCTACAATCCACAGCTGGAAGGACAAGGCTGCATCCTGATGTTAATGAGAAGGCAGTCATGGACAAAGCACTTACCCATGCAAGCTTTCCACATGGGTGGTGTCATGCTTAAAAAGGTGCCTACCCCAGGCACTGGCACTGCACCATCCAGGATTTTCATGTCAGCACAGAACCACTAGGAACACAGACTGCTAGCAGGCAAACCACATAGGATAGTCTGCGGGCTAAGAACTTCTTAAATATGATGTTGGCCAGATGGAGTGCTTGCATGGGAAAATGCTAAATTGGGTGGTAGGAGCCATTCCTTATCTGGACTGCCATATGCGATGATTGGCTGCCAGATCCTGGAATAAATGGCACTTCCCAGCTTTTCAGGAAGGCTGATGCTAGAGACAGTGGAAATACTACAGTGGTCATGAAAGAAGAATTCAAATCTAATATCACTGCAGCTGCTAATAATGCAGTGATTTCCCCTGCCTATCTCAGTGTCTGTCTACTTTGCTTAACGGGGCCACTAAGAACAGGAATGCATCTCTTAGGTCAGACAAATTAATATAGAAATATTTTAATTTTTGGAATGAAAGGGCTTCTTTGTTTAAAACACAGACATTCAAAATGTATAGTGTTAAACATACTTGGTTCCGAAGATCTCTCCTCTCCTGGTCCTGGGAAAGCCACTAGCTACAAAAGAACTTTGCTTTAAGCTAGGGCTATGCAATGAGGTACCTGTGGGCACTAATGTGCCCCCATACACTCTCCTTGATACTTATGGAGATGCCTCATTCTTCTCAATTTTTATTTAAATATTTTTTATATAAAATCTCACACTGGCAACTTTGATTCCTTCAATGTGAAGCATAAGCCTCTAGCATTGGCCACTACAGTTTTCAATGAATGCCTCTGGACTGGTGACTTGTCCTTTGCTATTAGTCATGTCCATCCATAGCAGCCATTTTATGGTTGTATCTAGGACAGTTTCTCAAATTTTCAACCTTGCCCACAGGCAAAAAGGTTGTCTACTCTGGTTTTATACACAGCCCTACAGGCTCTGTTCTCTCTCTAGAGAAGGTCCAATGAGGAACAACCTTTTCCACTGCTGCCCTTACATGAAGGAACTGTCATAAATAACATCTACCATTCACAGTTGAAAATGTCAGCCTGCTTTTTTAAAGCAAAAACAACTCTAACTTAGCTCTTAACAAGACCTGGGAGGCAAACATCTCCCAAAGCTTGACTTTCCAATCAAATATATTAATTAAATAGAATATGGGCACTTTCATGAATTGTAATCCCTGTTTATCCACATTTAATTCCCACTCTTATTGTACAGAATGTCAGCTTAGTCTCTTTTTACAAAAAGAGCTGTAAAACAAGGGTAGCTGCCTTTTTTCTTGGCTCTGTGTGGGTGGATGGTTAATACAGGGTTGCTTGTGAGGTACGGCACCATAGATAAGCTGAAGAAAACCCAGCCCAATTAACAGCATATCCAATTATTTCCTTCCTTAGGAGGGTAAAATACCACCAGGGGTTATATAGATAAGGGCAAGTCATCAGGCTCCTCCTAAGAATATTCAGGACTTACCAAAGGTTGTTCCAGCTTCTGGCCGGCTGACGGAAGACACGATGACAAAGCCGAAACCCTCATTCTCTCCCCGGCGTATCTCCACATCATAGGGTTGCACCACAGTGCTGACCACTCCGCTGCCTCCACCTCCTCCACTGCCAATCCCACTGGTGCTGCCACTGCCCGAACTGACCGTATTGAGGGAGTTCTGGCTGCCCTGTGGGGTGCGTTTCTCCTCTGTCAGAGAAGCAGGCTGGTTGCTGCTGTGGTGAGATGAGGCTGGAGAGGGAACTTCATTCTCTGCCTTTGGAACTGCTTGGGAAAGATGCAATTCCTCATTAGCACTCTTCACCTGACACCCAGGCTCCCAATAAAATTACAAAAAATAACTCATTAACTTAATAAAATGCCTACTTTCCTGTCAACTGATCATAGAAAGTTTACCATCTATATTCTGTAAGACAGTTTCCCCCTGTCTGAGTCCTTCCAGATGCTTTAAACAATTCCCTTAAACCTCAGTGGCCAGGGATGATGGGAATTACAGATGAAAACATCCATAAGGATCCAGCTGTGGGGAGGCTGTTGTAAGACCACCTTATGAATACATATCTCAGCAATGCTCGAGGTTTTCCTGTGTTCCATCAACCAGGGCTTGAGCATGGCCAGTTCAGTGGTGGCACACATCTGGGTTTCCTTCCTAGAGAGATCTATTTTGTGAGTTCTTTTCACTCAGTCCTAGCATAAGATCTATTCTGTTCTTTTTGCAGTTTAAGTAGAAGAATTTATGGTATGTTTATACTGGTTTAAAGTTGTATTTGCACTTTTTATGCTATTATCTTGATTTTTGTTTCCATTACTTGTGTTCTTTTTTTTGGGGGGGGTACAATTGACTATAGGCAACTATTGCTGCTAATAAATATACTCATAACACAGGATTCAGTTAAGAAATGGCACACTGGGATCATTCACATGTCATGACAGTGCACTGTGGATCAATTTACCAGTGGGGTTTGCCATATAATGCCAGGCACCTGCAAACACCACACTAGATGCAGCATGCCACATTGTGCAAACCCAACTGGAGGGGACTGTTTCAGGGTTATCTAAACCTCAAATAACCCTAACACAAACCATGGCTTATTTGAAAGTTGTCTAAAGAAAAAAAAACCTTGCTGCCTGGGTTCACATGAAATAACAGTTCATGACAAGTCAGGTGTCTGTGGGTGTTGGGCAAAAATGGCACCTGCTGCTGATGGTATGACAAAACAGCACCCACAGGTAAATTAGGTTATGGTGGCCTGCCATGTTTTGCAAACCAGGTTGTTATGGTCCATTCTCTGATGCAAGTTTTTTGTGTTACTATTTAGGAATCCATTAAAATACATGAAGTCATTAGAAAAAAATGCTTTAGCTGGATTTTCAGAAAAGATATGGAGGTGAGAAACTTGAAGCCAGTCTGTCCCTGTTTATAAATGTTTCTGACAAAAATATAGAATGACTTTCTCAATTTGTCTTAATGATTTTGTCTAAGTATTTTGCAATACAGAATGCACATGCCAGGCTAGGGACATACTTGTAAGGAAGGCTAATCTACCTTGACAGAAACATACACATTGGTGGGTCTCCACCATCCCTGGTGCCAAGGGAAATGATTGGGGACCAGCATGGTCCCATGCAATTTAACTGTTCGGAGGGAGGATACTGACATGGGACTGTGTTATGTTATATTATATCACCCATCATTCCCTGTACATTTGTTTTAGCACTGAAACATAAGAACAGACATACTAAATCATACCAAAGGTCCATCTAGCCCAGATCATGGACTTCAGAGGCTGTATGGCACAATTTCTATGGCAGGTGTTGGGGATGGACCAGGCAATGGTTCTTGCCTTTATGCTAACGAGTCTCTCAGAAGCATCTGCTGGAAACAGATTTCTGGGCTAATGATCCTTGGTCACTTCTAGCAAGGCAATTTTCTTGGTAGTACCTTCAGCATTAAACACTGTCATTTTTATAACACTGCTGGGTAATACTCAGCTTCTTTCACAGGCAGTACTGCAAAGTGATTACCCACAGACCATCCAATTTCACAGTATTTCTTATATGGACCCTAATATAAATCCAGTAAAAGAATATCTCTAAAAATATAAATTTGAAGAAAGTGTAATGAAGAACCCCATGTGTCTCTCAGAAAACAGCAATCTATCCACTCTATTCAACCATAGTCACATTCACAGCTGAAAACATTCAGCCTATATTTATTCCATGTCTGAAAAGACTGAACAACAAACACTGAAGATGAAAAACAAAATGTTAAGATGAAAATATGAACTGCTATTTTTTGCATGTACTCAGGCGTTTGATCTTTGGAAAGTAGTTCACTTTCATCGAGAGACAGAGTAAAAATAAAGTACCCTCACAGTCACATAGCAACCTACCTGTGTAAACCACTTTGCGTCTGACAGTTAAATTGACATGGCCTTGCTTAGCAGCCTGCTGCATAAGCTGGACTACAAGCTGGTGAGATTTCCCAACAACTGGCGTTCCATCCACACAAATCAATTCATCTCCAGATCGCAAGCGACCATCAGCATCTGCAGCACCCAGTGGTACAATGTGACCGATGTAAATCTGTGAACAATGGGAGCATTTGCATGTGAACAGTTACTGGTAGAAAAATCTAGCCTAACTCACCATCCCACAGTTGGTTCATCAATGCCCAAACAAACAGCTTATAACTAAATATATTATGCAATTCAGGCTATTGTGTGAGTCCCATTCTTAGATATATCCAAAGAGCTGACATCACTGGGCCAAGTTACTAAGCAGGGTGGCAGAAAGCGCTGGAATAAACAGCCAGTTCCACAACTAGTACAAAACGTTATTGTTCTGTCTCAAACAATCAACTGAAACTTCAGCATGGAAGCAAGATCACGGTTGCTGAGTTTCTGCAACTGCAAATTTTCTGTTCTGTTGATTTATTGTGCAGTTAATGAGTGTTCATCATTTGCAGAATCCACTTTTTGATAAAGGTGTAGTTTATGAACTCCTTAAATAAATGGAAAGAGACTCTGGTTCTTCTTCCCATGATTTCGTCTCTCATTTAACATCACATTCAATTTCTTACAGACTTCTGCTGAATGAGTCTGTATTTATATAGCTCAAAGGACTGATAATGAGATCAGAAGCCTTGGTCTGAGTGTGACCTAAATCAACATCAGACCAGAGTTGCTAACATCTGTTTGACGTTGTGGTTAGTAGCTGCTGCAAGGGACTAAGCCAATTGCTGACAGAAATAGGCCTCACTTATATGAACCAGTATCAACACTCTTAGCAACCTTAGCTATATAGAGCAGAGTTGAGCATCCCATCCTGCATTTCTGGGAATAAAATTACCAGCAAATCAGATGCTTGAAGAAATAAAAAGAACTATATATACTGATGAATGAGTAAACTCTAGAACAGAGACATATAAAACTAGTCTGAAATTTCAGAATACTTACTGGTTCCCCAGGCTCATTTCCACCAAGAATCCTAAATCCAAATCCAGTTTCCTTCCTCCACAGAAAGATATCTTGCTCTTGATAATCTGGAACTACAAGAAAATAAAAGAAACTCATTATTTATAATAGCTGACTTCTGAATATTATAGATTAAATAATTATTATAGAATAGACTTGCACAATGAAATTTCTTAGGGCAGTTATTACATTTATACTGAATGACACTCTCTTCATAATTCACACAATACATACGCAGCTATGTCAAACTTTTTCAAAATGAAACAGTCCCTGGGAGCTTCTAGGAAATGCTGCCCTGGGCAAACTGGGATGGCCTTGAAATTAAAAGCCCCCAAACTGCAATTGATTGTTGGAAGAACTATGAATCATCAGTGAGCAAACAAAACTGTTTGCTCCAGACTTAGCCATGCTTAGAATCCTACTGAACTCTATAAGACTTAACTGAGCCATGATTTACTTCAAGTCCCATTGATTTCAGTGGGCCTAACTCCAAGCATAACTTTGTCAGGAACCAACCTCATATATTTATTTTTATCTATTTACAGCCTGCCATGAGGTCGCAGGTTCCCAGAAAAAGGTAATATTACAAGGATAGCACACGTCATTTTGGGAATAAAGTGCAAATAGGAGAAATTTCTGCAAGTGGTTTAACTCTTAATGCATTTTCTTTCTGAAGCACAAGGTTATTATTGTGAAAATCACTGTAGGCTAGTTTTAAAGGAAGACAGATATACATCCAACACCCTCCTACATTTTATTTCATTTGTTATATTTTTAATCCACCCCGAAACTATATCTGACAGAAAGTCAAGGCACACTAGCCCATTACTCCTACGCCAAATGAAGAGGGTTGTAGTACCCACGTAATTTCTCTCTCTCCTGTCTCCTTACTAGAAAGTCAATGTCCCTTCATTGGTTATATGCCACAAACCCCCTTCTTTCTGGTACAGCACAAAAGCACCAGAAAGAGTCTTTTGCTTAAGACCTCTACTGAGCCTTACCACCCTGAGATACTCAAGCACAATTCACATTTTTAGGATTTGCTAGCAGACTGACAGAAAACTGCTACTTGGTTTTTCTTCTTGATGGCAACAAATTGTGCAGCAAATGTTTGTATAGCACTGCAGTATTCAAACTCATTGGTGTTACCATCAGTAATAAATCCAGAACCCTTTTTAGGAATTGTGAGTAAACAGACTTTTTTCATTAGGCAAATGAGGCTCTGTAAGAGTATATATCCATTAGTAACATATTACAGTTGATTTTCTTTTCATAAGATGGAGAGAACAAACCAAGACTCAGCTCTGTGCTGAAATAACTATTGTAATAATTAACATCTGCAGAGCATTTCCCCTTATTGTCAGCATTATTATAATGCTGACAGCACTATAAATAACTGGTGCTATTGGGCATAATCCTTAGAAATAGTAAAACCAGACCTGCTTAGATTTAGCAAGGCAGCAGTATAGTGCCCCTATCTTTCACCTGCAAATATACTCAGGGAGAAATAAGAGGGCTTTTTTTTGGAGGGGGAGTTCCTCTCAAAACTTTGCTTGTACTCTTTTTTGCTATTGTTGTTTTCCCTAGTTTTCCTTCCCCATCTCCTTTTTTTGCACCAGAGTTTAGTTATTTATTTAATTAAATTTATATTACGCTATATTGGTCCAAGGTCCCTCTAAGCAGATTACAAAAAGATAAAAACATGCCATGACAATAAAAGCAATCAATTAAATTGATTAGGGTGATATGGTTAGGATAAGTATGGTTCGAGTAATAAAATGACTCCATCATGACACCACAGAGCTAGTCAGATGTGACTTCAAGATTATGCAAATCAGAGTGAATGCAATGGTTCCTGATCACTCTGTTGTTCCTGCCTGGCATTGTTTTTTTGATTTGCAGTTGCCCCTCATTTCAAAAAATGCCAGCAGCTCTGTGTGTGTGTGTGTGGGGGGGGGGCATAAAGCACTCCTTTCTAAAATGAACATTAAGTAGCAGTAATAATAGAATGAATGCTCATGATTTTTCTCCAAAAGCTGATTTCTCTGCAAAATGTTCATACATTTCCTTATTGCTTGAAGCGCCTGATCCTACCTAATCTTGGAAGATAAGCAGGGTCAGGCTAGGTTGACATCTGAATGGTGGCTTAAATGTGGTGAGCCACCCAGAGAACTTTGGCTATGGGTGGTAGAGAAATGTAAGAATTATGATTATAATTATGAATATGTAGTGCCACCTAGGAAGGCCTTTTGACAGCTATAGGTAGCCTATAAATATATGAATTATTGTTATTGTTTGTTAGTGTTACTGTTACTTCTGAGACTTGTGAATGAAATACCAGGTATTCAGATTGTAGGCCTCATGATCTGCATAACACTGAATCATTTGCAAGAGAGAATGGATATGTATCTATACTGGATCACAACTGCCAAACAAACATATTTGGGTATGTGCTGAAAAGGACTTATCTGACCACAGTTTTTTTTTTAAAACTATTTATAGAACCTCTGACATTTCTCAGAATAAAATGTACTTTGCAATTATGTTTCTATCAAGATGAAAGGCATGCTGCAGCAGAGAGATACTGTCTTGTGCACTGTTTCCGAGGGAGCTCCAACCCAACATTCCATCTCCTGCACTGTACTAACTTCTCAACTACCCAGATAAGTCAAGGACACTGAAACCAGCAAGTTGTCAGCTTATAATATTGAATGCACTGAAGCCCGAGTTTCAAATGCATTTAATAAAATGTTTTATACTTAAAATATGAGTCATTTATATTTTATTTAAAAATCAACATTACAGAATATTAATAACAAGTTCCTTTAATATTTGTTGAAGAAATAACTTTTAGCACTCTGAAAAATTTTGTGAAATATGTACAACTTATTTCAAGGAGTAATATCCAATACTCCCATATCTTCAGTCGTTCTGTTGTACCCTGGCATCTCCCACTAGCAAACAGGAACTAGCATTTCTTAAAGCAACCCTGGAAGTGAATGAGAAATATTCATGTTTGAAATGGGACAGGTGAATGGAGCTCAATTCTGTGTGATCCACGGACCTTTCCCACTCCAGAAAATTTTGTTTCTGCTTTCCAACTGCCATATAAAACACTGGTTTTCTATTGTGCTAGCAGTGTGACTCACTAGAGTGCATTAGATACTGTCCATGATGTATTGTTGAAGGACAATTAGAAACACAGAGAGTAAGAAGGGATCTCCCAGGCCATCTAGCCTGACCCCGGGTCCAGCTGGCTCTGCTCATGACTTGGCTACCATGGGGGTAGCTTCCATGCAGACACTCAACATTTTTCCTTTTTATCATTTTACCTCCAACACTTTTCCTTATTATTTCAAGCCCTACAAAGTTATTCAACATAAATTTTGCAATTTTGCCCTTTACCTGTGCTGATAATAATGACCATGTATGCTGTGCCATCAGTTACACAATTGCTTCCTTTGCAGCAAACTGCTGTTGTTTCACATCTCTGTGAATATAGGAAGTCCTCCCTTTTGTCTGCTCAGTGAAGCTGACTGAGCAGATGCCCATCAAGGAAAACATTCACTCCTGAGGTTTACCCAGTGCAGAGAAAACCCAGATGAAGGAACTCGAGATGTAGAAGTCAATCTAGAGTACATACTATCAGATTTTGTGATGATGCTTTTCCTTATACTGTGGGCATAAAGGGTCACAAATTCCAGAAAGCAGTCACCATGAAGAACCTCCTCTCCCATGTCTGGAACAGTGAATCGTACGTAATGTGTATGGCCAGTGGTTGAAAGAGTACTCCTGAAGAAATCCTTCCTGGATCCTAAGGAGTTTCACAATCATTTGCCAGTAACTAGCATCCACTTCTTGAAAAAGGAAATCTAGCAGATGTGACTATGCAGTATCAGGTGCTCTGGAATGAGACTGGTTATCCAGACCCATTTTAGTCTGGTTTCAGTCCCATCTGTGGCATGCAGACTGTCTTGGTCACCTGTATGGACAACCTATGCTAAAAGAAAGGGGTCAAGTGCAACCCAGCTTATTCTCCTGCACCTCTGAGAGGCTTTCAGTACTATTGATCATGATATCCTTCTGGACATGCTCTCTCTGTTGGATGTCTGAAGCATAGTGATATGGTAGGATTGAACACCTATCTGGAATGCCAATTCTAGAAAGTGGTGCTTGGGATCATGGCTCCTCGCAAGGCGATTTGTTTATGGGGTCCCGTGGACTTCAGTCTTGTCCTCACATTCTTTAACATTACATTAAATTGCTGGTAGAAAATGCTGTGTTGGTGTTTATGATTCCTAGCTCTCTACCTCCCCACCCCCATTAAATTCATGTGAAGAAGCAAAAATGCCTAGAATTAGTAAAAGTTTGGTTGTGGACCAATAAACTAAGTGAATCCTGGCATGATGGGAGTGCTTTGGTACATGGAATGTCTATTGGAAGATACTCCTCCACCAATTCTACAAGAACTTACAGTCTCCTAAAGAATCAAGTTTGTAGTCTGGTATACTCCAGGATGAAGTAGCTCAATGAAGTGCCTTTCATTGCCTTAGTCTGATGTGCTTGTTGCAGCAGTCATTGGATATCTGGACCACAGCTATTTTATGTTCTGGTGATGCCTATGTTTGACTATTGTTATAAAGCTGGAGATTATTATTTGGAAATTTCAGTTTATCCAGAATTCAGCTGCTAGGCTGTCAGCTGGGCACTGACCAGTAAAACTTAACTCAGTAGCACTGAAATAACTTCAGCAGTGTGTAGTCCATTTCAGAGAGCAACTCAAAGTGTTGCTGGCTTAACACACACACCAGAACACATAGGGACCTGTTCGAGGATCTCTTCCCTCTTTACATTTGAGCTACACGAGTGGCAGCCAGAGAGAAAAAGCCTCCTCAGTAGTGTTGTCTTATGGAATTTACATACCGGGAAGGCCTGTGTGCAAGCCCCCACATCTAAATTTTAATGTATTTTTCTTTCAGTATTTTTAATATTTAGCATTTCTTTCAGTATTAATGTATTTTTATTATTTTTGCAAGCCACCCTGGCAGCTCCACTGAAGAGTAGGATGTACATGTTTTAAATATGTAAAACCAATTGGCAATTCTATCAACCTCAGTTGGGTCCTATGGCACCCTACAAGGCTTGCTAGACTTGCTCGTCCATCAAGAACATGGTCACCATGATAATGTGAAGTGGGTTGTGCTTACTGTCTAATCCACACCAGTGCCACAAGCATCTCCGTCACTTGTATGGATGAGAGCTGGCATAGGCTGAACACACCTGGCCCACAAAAGCATCATGGAAACATGCCTCTGTTCTTGATGGTTTTTCCTGTAAGTTCAAACAGCTGTACTTTGACTGGGATGTTGGTGGGACAACTAATAAAACCAAAGCGCCTTAAATACAAGTACTCAATGTTCCATTTATTGTAGATAATTTTACATCAAGGAGGAGCTATGCTGTTTGGTCTCCATCAGAAGTATCTGACTGAGATTTCTAAGCTGCTGGCCACTGCCAATGGTTCAAAGCAGAGGTTTATTCAAATAGGAACATTAAATGAATGAACTGAATGAGCAGAAATGAAACAAGGTAGATGCACTAGTTTCTATAATGCTTTACAGCCATTGCTTTGTGTCTCCCCTTTCAATGCACTGCCATCTTAATTGACTGGTGTTTATTAAGCTAAGATATTTTTAAAACTCACATGTATTAGTGCACTGAGCCATAGCCTAAGAATTTTCTAAATACTGTTACAGAATAATAAGGCAATAAATATTACCAAAGTCCACAAATGGACCAGTGAAAACCTAGTGCATTGAAGTCTATTTCCTCAAAATGGTGACTTAAAGCAGCCCAATTTGAACAATGGAAGTGCAACTGCATTAAAATCTGTGAACTTTGTCACTAACTCCAACAGGAGGTAGACTGCATTCTATGTGAACTGGTGTTTGTCACTGTGTTTTTAGAACCCCAAAGCAAAAGAAAGCTGGTAAAGGTTCTCTTTCAAAGTCTCCTACTGGAGGTCAGGCCAAACCAGTTAAGAATGTGCAGCTTGTCTGATAAAAGCAAAATAAAACTTCTGCTGGGCACTCCAGCAGGAAACCTTTTTTACTCATCGCCTCTCCACATATTTCCACTTGTCAACTCTACGGTGCTTCCAGCCATAGCTAAAGCTTTACCTTCCGTTTCCTTTTTAAATGCACAATATAATAGAACCTATATTAGGTTCTGCCTTAGACTAAACAGTATACCATATTGCTATCATGCTCTTTGTACAGTGCAGCAAGAATGGGTTAGGGTTTGGGTCCTGCCCCTTTTAGAGTTCCAACTCATAAGAGAGCTATTCTTAAATGGTAATGGTAGCCTTATGGCAAAAGAGTAGCTTGTTTCATGCTGACTGCAGTGACTATTCACAAAGGAATCCCTAAGGAAGCAATTTGTTATAAGGGAGATGTCATTTTCAAGGTTAAGTTGTTCTTTTGCTGCAGCTTCTTGTTCAGGGGTTTGTTTGCTTAGTCACTTATTCCACTTATATTAATGACTCATTGATTGACTCTTCTGCATCTCATAGAATCTTTTCATGGATTTGACTTTGCAATCATTGTAATCCTCCTTTTTTTGTGAATTTTAATTCTTGTGGCCTATGGCTAGAACATTTAGTAATGAATTTGGTTTGAAACAATGCATTCGGAATTGAAAACCCAGCTGCTTGTGACCCCAAGCTTACATTTCAGCTAGGCCTTTCGATCAATGCAGTATAAGAAAACAAGGAAGCAGGAATACTTCGAATACCACCTTCTTTTCATTAAAGCTGACATAATCTAACACTGCATTCTTAACAAAAGTAGATATTAACAGGGTAACAGCATGGTGAATCACAGACACGCACATGCACAACACAAACAAAAGTGAAACAAAACTCTTTTTACAGCCTTTTGCACTGATCAGTCTACTTGCATGACTAATATTAGCCCCTGATCAAATTTCTAGCCAAGCAATGTCACCCCAAGACCTGGCTGACACAAATGGCTTCTAAATATTTAAGAGGCGACTTCACTGATTGTGCAAAATGGGTGACTGAGCATGCAGAAGCTGATCATCTGGATGTTGCTGCAAAGGACAGCTTCAGGCTGCTTCTGAGATTTCTCCAGACCTGCTAGAGAAGCTGGTATGCAACAAGTGGCAGTGGAAGACAACTAGTCAACAAGAATTTTTTTGTGAAGCGTTTTCCGAATGTATGATTCCTGGGTTGATAGTGAAATCTATTTTATTTTGTTGTTTCATCAAACCATAAATCAGTGTTTGAAAACTGATTAGTACATTTAGATGCTGCTGAGAATAATCATAAAAACTGAATTAAAATCAAAGCATATCTGACTATGGATCCTCAGTTTTTTAAAAATGAAGGATTTACTGGCACATTTTACAATGACTAAGCTTTTTAATTCTTTCCCCAATCTCCCCATGACATAATTCCAGCACCAGTGGCTTAAGGGTAATCCATGCTGGCTCATTACTAACAAACTCTCAAGGACTCCATTGCAAATGCAGTAAAATGAGTTTTGAACAGGTGATGAGAACAATGCCAAGTGACAATAGTTAGATCTTTTTCATCTATGATTATTCAAGTAAAGCTTAGAGAACAAAACATTAATCCTCCCTGATGCTTCCCCATCCCCTCCCTTCTGTGCTGTGCTTGACAATGGTATGTTAAGGAAAGCATGGTGAAACTTTAACACCTTCCATGCTTCAGTCCTTCCAACCCACCTGGCCCATATGAATTGCCCCCAGTCACAAACACTACCACAAGATGGACAACAAGACAGATATAAAATTCTCAGCTCATTCTTACATTCTCCAAAATTCGTGGAATTGATTTCTCTCTCTCTCTCACCCTTGCTCAGTCCAGTCGCAGGCGAAGGTGACATAGCTGTGAACATTAATTTTAACATTTTGCAAAGCTTAATGGATTTTGTTTTCTTGCTTTTCATTGCAATTTAGCGTTGACAGATAACAGCTCTGCTTCTGCTTTCAAACCTGTTATATCAGAAAATGTCACAGCTCCTAAGGACTAGAATATACCTACCTGTTTTTTGCCAGGCCTATTGGTATTGGAAATATCTGGTGCAAAAACTAGGTGATCAAAATATACTGTACATTATTGTAAGTATTTTCAAATGAGCTATTTAATGTTTCTGCTATCACAAGAGAGCTTGCAAACTTTTAAGCAACACACTTATCTGTGGGATTAGGAAGCAAAATCTATTAGCACAAGAAATTTATACTGAAAGCATCATAGAATCGTAGAATAGAAGAGTTGGAAGGGGCCACGAAGGCCATCGGATCCATTGGGTCCAACCCCTTGCTGTTGCAGGACACCAAGTTACACCATCTCACTCAGATGACTGTCCAGTTTCACCCTGAATGTCTCTAGTGTAGGAGAGTCCATGACCTCTCTAGGCAGCTGGTTCCACTGTTGCATTGCTCTAACAGTGAGGAAACATTTCCTGATATCTAGCCTGAATCTGGGTTGTTAGAACTTGACTTGATTATTCTGTGTCCAACACTCTGGTATGAGCAAGAAGAGATCTTCTTGTGACAACCTCTGAAGTATTTATACAGTAATATCATGTCTCCCTTAAACCTTCTCTTCTCAAGGATGAACATGCCCAGTTCTACCAGTCTCTTCTCTAGGGCAGTGTTTCCAAACCCTTAATCATTTTTGTTACCCTTCTCTGGACCTTTTCTAATTTGTCTGCATCTTTGTTAAATCTGGACACAGTATTCTAGATAAGCGCTGACTTGTGAAGAGTATAGGAAAACTATTACTTCTCGTGATTTGGAAGTAATACTTCAGTTAATGCATCCCAATATAGTATTTGTCATTTTTGCAGCTGCATTACATTTTTGGCTCATATTTAGCCTGTTGTTCACCATAACTTCAAGGTCTTTTTCTTTTTCTGTTCTACTGAGCCACGTATTCCCTCTCTTAGAAACATAGAAACAGAAGCAGAGCAAATCAGAAGTGGCCTCCTGGGCCATCTAGTCTGATCCCCGGCTCCAGCTGGCTCTGCTCATGACATGCCTACCAGGTGCATGTCCAATTTATCCTTAAACACCCTCAGAAATGGGGCTTCAACCACCTCCCGTGGAAGTCCATTCCATACCCTAGCAGTCCTAACCATCAGGAAGTACTTCCTGGCATCCACCCTGAATCTTGGTTCCCTGAGCTTTGCTCCATTGGAATGCATCCTGCCCTCATCCACAGGGGAAGCAGGTCTCTATGCACCTCTGTATGACATCCCCACACATGCCTATATGTTCCCAACAGATCCCCTCAGTCTCCTCTTCTTTAGGCTGAAAAGATCCAGTTCCCTCAGTCTCGCCTCATACGGCTTTCCCTGCAATCCAGCCACCATCCTTGTGGCCTACACTGCACTGATTCTAACCTGGCTATATCTTTCCTGTAATCTGGAGCCCAGTACCAAACAACAATACTCCAGCTGCAGGAGCACAAGAGTCATGCAGAGTGGTAGTAACAGCTCTCTTGATCTAGAAGCCATGCTTCTGGCTATGCAACCAAGGGTGGCGTTTGCCCTCTAGACCACCATGTCCCACTGCTGACTCATGTTTAGCCTGCAGTTGACCAGTACTCTGAAATCCCTTTCACAAGTGCTGTTCTCCAGCCACTTGTCCCCTAACCTGTACTTGTCTCCTAACCTGACACCCATTCCTATGCCCCAAGTGCAAGACTCTGCACTTATCCACATTGACCGCCATCCTGTTGTCCCCATCCCACTTCCATAGTCTGTCCAGATCCTTTTGGATCTGGAGTACCTGCTCTCCTCAGTTGTGGCTACTGCCCCCATTATAGTATCATCTACAAATTTGATCAGCAGACAGGTCACCCCCCTCTTCCAGGTTATTGATGAAAAGATTGTATAGGTCCCTGAGGGACCGTTTGTCACTGGCCACCATCCCGATGATTCCCCACTAATAGTTACCCTCTGCTTTCAGTCCATCAACCATACCCTAATCCATCGGATATTGCATTCATCTATCCAAAACTCCTTAATTTCTCAACCAGGATATTGTGTGGCACTTTGTCAAAGGCCTTGCTGAAATCCAGGTAAACCACATCCACCATGTCTAGCCAGCTCGAAACCTTGTCACAGAATTCCACAAGGTTTGTCTGGCAGGAACTGTTTTTGCTGAAGCCGTGTTGCCTGGCTGCCAACCTCTCTCCCCTCTCTAGGATTACTAGATTTCTTGCTATTATGGGCCTTTCCATTGTCTTTCCTACAGTGGAGATAAGGCTAACCAGTTTGTAGTTCCTCCTATCCCCTCTACTACGCTTTCTGAAAATTGGAACCACTGATGCCACCCTCTAGTCCTCTGAAACCTCACCCATTTTCCACAAGTCCTCAAAAATGGAGACCAATGGGCGCAAGACTCAACTCATGAAGTACTCTTGGGTGTAACCCGTCAGGGCCTGGTGCCTTTGTAACATCCAGTGCCCTGAGGAGCGCCTCAGTTTTTGTGGGGGGTGGGACTCTAATCTGTGCCCCTAAATCCCTTGCTTCATCTTGTCCCCCATGTAGGTCTCCCCTGTCCTGCTTTGGAGAGAACACAGAGGGAAAATAATCATTTCACATCTGTGCCTGTTCCCTCACATCAGTCATTGAATCCCCTTCTTCCTTATTAAGCAGACTCACCACCTGTTTCCCCTTCCTCTTGCTATTTACATGTTGATAGAAGCCCTTTTTGTTGCTCCTGATATTCCTTGCATAATCAGCCTTAGCCTTGTGAAGAAACCTTCTGCAGTGGGCCTCCTCCTCTGGGTATACTCTTTTGTCTACTTGCCCCAGTGCCCATTTCCTATGGAGGTTCCTCTTACATACCTCTTACCACCTCCTTTCGCATCTATGGTGCACTCTCCTTTGCCTCCCTGTCTTACTAACTAGAGGTATCATCAAGGCTTGCACCTCCAAAACCTCCCTTTTGGGTGCCATCCACCCCTCCTCAACTACCTTGCCTTCCAGTAACCTCTCCCAGGAGACTTTCCCCAGTCTGGCCTTCTTTTGACCAAAGTTGGCCCTCATGAAGTCCCAGCTTCTAGTACTTGAAAATGAACATATAGCACTCATTGTAACCAGTGATCAGTTTGCTTGGAGGTGCCCATCTGAGTTTTTGCTGTGAATTTGTTAGCTTGGCAAGGAAGAAACTCAAAGACCACTGTTGCTGAGTTACTTTTAGTGTCCTTGTATCGATGCATTTGGTTTCTTTTTCCTAGCTGGAAGACTTCACATTTGTTTCTACTGAATCTCATTCTGCTGCTTTCAGCCCAGTGTTCAAGTTTATCCAAATCACATTGGGTCTTCATTCTGTCTTCTAGGGTGTTTGCTATTCCACCCACTTTTGCATCATCTGTAAATTTGATTATCATTCCTTGTTCTTCCACATCTAGATCATTAATAAAGATGTTGAAGAGCACTGAGCCCAGGAGTGAACCCTGTGGCATCCTACAGGTTACCTTCTTCCAGTTTGAGAGTACTATTTGTATGTGATTTTCAGCAATATGCTGGTTTACAAGACTATTTCTAAAATGGGAAGAAACTAGAAATAGCAGGAGGATGGGTAACTGTTTGTCCTTAGAACATTCGTAGATTTTGGAAAGTTGATTCTCACATTATAAAATAGCACACGTGTACATTTCATACCTATGCATGAAAAAATGTTAAGTAGCAAATGATCCATTATGCCAGTGTAGATTTTGCTACTTGGCTGCACATACATTGGCTGTAGATACCAGCTTCCCAGTAGCCCAACCAGGATTAAATACACAGTTGCATTGCATCAAAATTTCCAGCCTATCCTCACCTACTTGGCAGAATTCTAGCCAATCAAGTCTTGCTATCTCTCCTGCTCCATCATCCCTTCATGTGATTTTCCTTTTCTAACTGAGGGGGTTCTTGGGAGTACAGGTTGTCCTCTTAGGTAGCCTTTCAGAAAACCCAATTCAGTTTGGTTGCATTGTTTCTAACACCAGGTTATCACCATATAAGCACTACTTCTGCAAACATCACTATTCCCTCCAAGCAAGCTGACACACTCCTGCTATTCTTCAGTAGGCCCCTGTTTGGCTTCTGTCCTGTTGACATAAAGCACCTGAACCTACTATTAGCAGAAGCTATGCCTGAACTTAGTGACAGATTTTCTTTTCTTGGGCTCCAAGATCACTGCAGATGGGGACTCCAGTCAAGAAATTAAAAGATGTTTGCTCCTTGTGAGGAAAGCTGTAACAAATCTAGACAGCATACTAAAAAGCAGAGACATCACACTGCCGACAAAAATTCATATAGTCAAAGCTATGGTTTTCCTAATTGCAATGTGAAAGCCGGACCATAAGGAAGGCTCAGCACTGAAGAATTGAGGCCTTTGAATTGTGGTGCTGCAGACGACTCCTGAGAGTCCCTTGGACTGCAAAGAGACCAAACCAGTCAATCTTAAAGATCAACCCTGATTTCTCTTTAGAAGGCCAGATACTGAAGATGAAACTCAAATATACTTTCGCCACCGAATGAGAAGGAACAGCTCACTGGAGAAGACCCTGATGCTGGGAATGATTGGTGGCAAAAGGAGAAGGGAACAGCAGAGGATGAGGTGGCTAGATGGAGTCACTGGGGCAGTGGGTGTGGGCTTGGGTGGACTCTGGGGGAGCCTGAAGGAATGTTGTCCATGGGGTCATGATGGGTTGGACATGACTTTGCGACTAAACAACAAAAATGCTTGAGCCTCCCCCTCTTCATGCTTTCCAAGTAGAAATCTTGGTATTCCATTCTCAATCGAAAGTTCCTCCACCCTTAGAATATATTAGTGCCACATGTACAATGCACTGCAGTAGGTCTATTGGGATGTTTCCAGCACATG